GGGGGCCGCCATGCTGGCCGGGGACCGAGCCGGCGAGAGTGCCGCTACGGTGTCCTGCGCGGGACAAAGTTCCCCGCCGCGACCGCTTTTGCTTCGCGAAGAAGTGGGTTCGTTTGGAACGGGATTCATCGCCCTCCGACAATTTCACGGGTATCGGACGGCGTGAGACGGCCCCGGTTCGTTTCGGAGGCTGTAAGCCTTTACGGGCCCCGAAAGCCTCATCTTTCTCCCGAGGAGTCACTGGTGGAGTCGAACTGGTGACTTTTGTGGTTAGCAGCCGGACTCAACCTAAAGCACCTCCAGGGCTTTCTCGTGAATCCTTGATCAATTGCTCTGATTTTTAGTGATCCTAAGAGTGTTTGCTTTTTAACACTTTAGAAATTTGCCAGCAGATTTACACAACACAGTACATTGTCTGATTTCCTAACTGCTGTTGATTGTGGATCCAATTAAAGTCAAGTCCTTGGCGATGTCAGTCTTTTCTGCATTTATCATGATGTTGCTTATTGGCCTGTTGTCAGGATTTTTGTCTGTTGAGGTGTGATCCATATCGAAGGCTATGATTTTTTATATTCCTCAAGGAGTACTGTAAGTCCTTGCTTTCAGCCTGCAAGGTTGTGTCATTAACATATTACAAGTTTTTGCTTTTTTTTTTTAAACTTCTTTGTGAATTGTGTGAAGACTTACAGAGCAGATCTGTTTTCCATTCAATAATCCATACCCATCTCTTTCATCTCATTCATTGCCATCACTTCAATGTAACAGAACTAACATATTAGAACTAACTAACATATTAGAACTAACATCGTGTTTCCTGTTTCCCTTCCTGCTTGCTTCTTACCCATGCTGAACTGTGACCTTGGATATATAGTACTCTTCTATCTCCAGTGCTCTTTTATTCTAAAGTGGTTAGACCTCCCTAGTGTTATTGTTATTGTTCCTCTTACAAAACTGTCTATTATTTGGTTGAAAACTGAGCCACGGTGGTGAGTTGATTTCTGGACAAAAGGGTGACTGAAGGCCTTAGCCTCAGGTGACCACCAGTCTTTATCCAACCAATAAGCCTGGCTTTTTTTTTTTTTTTTCTTCCATTCTAGTCAATACCTCCTCATATGGTCCCTTTCAGAGCACTTAGTATTAGTAGGCAGGCACTACCTAGCTCTTGTGGTCTCAGGGTTTGGGAGCCTGGTGTTCCTGTGGTTCATTGGTCCGCTGGATCCATGGTTTCCGTAGACCTCTGGTATTCATCACTTTTCTTTCCGCCAGACAGGGATAGACCAATAGATGCACCTTGGATGGCTTTTCAGACCCTTCTCACTCCTCGCCAAAGCAGGATGTACAGCATTATCCTTGTGGACTGTGTTCTGCTGCTTGACCCTGATGTACCCCAAGACCATTGTCTAGAACTCCCAGGTCCAGCGACTCATGCCCTTAAGTTGTTTGGTCATGTCTAAAAAATTTTCATACCGCCCCCCCCACCCACACAAGCTCCATCACATTCATAGACATATCTGCAGTAAAGATACATGCACATGTACAAATATGCTCTGTCAAGCCTGGATAGACTTGAGGGAACACGCCTACTCTCCCTCCCTTCCATACTTACTCATCTTGCGTGTGTTCTACATGCATCTTTTTCATGAGTCTCCCTGCAATCATAATGCCCCATTCTTCATACCGTATAATCCAGCTCTGAAATTATTTGCTCAGCATACAGGATAAGTCTGATGAAAGGATACATCCCTGTTGCATACCATTACTGATGGCAAACCCAATGCCGATGCAAACTACTGCCTCTTGGTCTATGCACAGCTTCCCCAGGATTACAACAAAGTGTTGTAGAATACCATTCTTTACAATGTGATCTATAGCTTGTTATGATCCATGCAGGAGAGGGTCTACATTGTTTTTTGTTGTTGTTTTGGTTTGGTTTTTTGGTCTTTGGAATCATAGTTTTATTTATTTATTTTATGAAATCATTTTATTGGGGCTCGTACAACTTTTTTTAAATCATTTTATTGGGGGCTTGTACAACTCTTATCACAATCCATACATCCATCCATTGTGTCAAGCACATTTGTACATTTGTTGCCATCATCATTCTCAAAACATTTGCTTTCTACTTGAGCCCTTGATATCAGCTCCTCATTTTTCTCCTCCCTTCCCTCCCCTCCCTCTCGGATCCTTGATAATTTATAAATTATTTTTTCATATTTTACACTGACCAATATCTCCCATCACTCACTTTTCTGTTGTCCATTCCCCTGGGAGGGGGTTATAGATAGATCATTGTGATCGGATCCCCCTATCTCCTCCTGCCTTCCCCTTCCCCTCCTGGTATGGCTACTCTCAATATTGGTCCTGAGGGATTTATCTGCCCTAGATTCCCTGTGTTTCCAGATCGTATCTGCACCCATGTGCATGCTCTGGCCTAGCCAGATTTGTAAGGTAGACTTGGGGCCATGATCATGGCGGGGAGGAAGAGTGTCTACATTGTTACGGAACATGAGTAAACATCTTTCTGGTGTTCAATGCTTTTAGCCAATGTCCATCCAATATCAGTAATGACATCCCTCACTCCATGGCCTCTTCTGAAGCTGGCTTGAATCTCTAAAAGTTCCTTGTCAATACTGCAAAACTGCAAATGTTTTAGAATTACCTTCAGCAAAATGTTTCTTGCAT